AGGAATCTTTCCATCACAACTGGACTATATTAGTAGAAAATAATGTGTAAAGAAAAGAAAAGCTCTTGTAGGACAAAGGCAGTGGGAAAGAGAGCAGAACTTCCCACACTGAATGTGAGCAGGTAGGAAGAGAAAAGAAGGAAGAGCCTCTCACAGAGACAAGTATGAGCAGGTATATCAGACGCTGATCTGGTCAGTGGGGATGGGAAGTTGCAAGGCAGTGTTGAGTTTCTGGAGGAAATGCAAAGGAAACGGAGAAACAAAGTGCTCCCAACATTGCACCTATGCAAAAGAGCCAGAAAATCTCCCAAGGACATGAGGACTTGGGCATGACAAATGCAGATAACTCAGAAGGGTGAGAGATGGAAGATGAGGTACAAGTTTGTTGCTTTTTTACACAGTTTAATGATGATCTTGCAACAGGTACAACCAATCTCTATATTGCTGTGTATCGATCACTCTTCCATTAGGATAACACCAATCATCTGCAGTTATCCAATATGGTTACACAGAGTCTTAGCCATATGTTCCTATGGCCTATGAGCCAAAAATCAGAAAACTTCCTATCAAAGCCCTGCTGAAATCCTCTGAGTGAATGCCAGATTGCCATGCTTGGTGGGATACCATGGCAACTCAGAGATTCCCCCCCCCCCCATCACGACTGAATTCTGATGGTCCTTGAAAGAGTCTCACAAAGCACAAGTACTGTGGCCCCATCAGTGTGGGAGATACAGGGACACAAACGAAAGTAAATACTATTGTCTGAAAAACAGAATACAGGGGAAGAGACAGAGAAGAGACCCTTGGGTTCAAAAGTGGACACTGAAAACTAGGCAGGGAAATTCATCACTGCATTGGTCAAAATTGATCAGTTTTTCAGCTTTTGCATACTTCAGCCTCACACTGTCTTTGCATGCATTAACACCCCTGTGCACAACTGAATGACTTTCCAAAGTCTGCTAGGTTATGTGTTTTCCCTTCTGGGAACTTCAGGTTTTAAAATAAACAATGAGGTCATTGAATGAAACTAAAGGAGATTTTTGGTATTATAATACTTTCAGAAGTAAAATACAGTTACTTCTGAAAGTGTCTTTCAGATAGATCATTGTAATTGATTTTTTGAAATCGTAGGTAGAGAAAGTTTGCTGCCGGTTTTCCTTGATGAGATGAAAAGAAAGAAAAGGAAAAGTGGTGGATGAAAAAGAAATCCTATCATTTTCCCGATAGGGAAACAGTGAGGCCAGGAGGGTGCTTGAGAGAATGAGCACTGATAGCCGAGACGACCTGTCTGTTTTCAGGAACTCCTTGTCTTTAGTCTCCAAGAAGAAAGCTATTCAAACTGATTACTACTTGAATTACTTTGAGGTAATTGTTGCAGGGTGCGCAGACAGAAGCATGCATGCTTTGAGACCAGTCTATTCTACCTGGAGGCAGTGATTCACACAATACTAAGCATACAGAAAGCATGAAGCAGCAGATTTTTCTTTTGAAAAATACCAATACCAGAAAAATCTTCTTTCCTGGTTAGCATACTAGAATGATTAAATACTTTAGCCTGATTAAATAGTTTTAAGTACAACATAAATGTTAAGACATGGTTTACTACTGCTGCTTTCTTATAGAAAATAGTTGCTCTATACACAGCAAGTGGAAACTGCTTCTCAGCACAAAGTCAAACCCTCAACTTGCACTCTGTATCAAAAATATTATTGTTTTGAGAAATGCTTGAAATTATCAAGGCATCTAATACCATGTTTTCCTTGTGTGTTCTCCTCTTTCCCCTCATTATTAGGTATCAAACCTGCTCAAACAACGGGCTGGTGGCCGGTTTCCAGAGTCAGTACTTTCCATCAGTGCTGGACCGTGAATGGCAGTTTTACTGCTGCCGCTATAGCCGGAGGTGCCCATATTCCTGCTGGTGAGTTTGAGCAGACACCAAACCTGTGATCCTCTTTCCCCCAACATTCCCTGTGAGTGCCTTTGGCTGCTTGACCTGTCAGAAACGTTGTCTGAAAAAGAGTTAACTGTGCTTTATGGAGCTAAGCATGTTATTTCCAGACTGCTACAGGATTCTTAAAGATCCAAGGTTAAGGGAAAGAATAAGGGCTAAATTAGACTGAACAGCTGGCCCTGAATTAACAGCTCTGGGGATCAGCATCAGCCTTGTTGTGCTGGAAACCATGACAGAAATCTCCAAAGTGGAGCGATATTTTCCCACTATAAATGCAGCACATTTGCTAGAGTAGGAGCATCTCTGTGCTATACATTTGTACTACAATGACTTACAAGTGTGAATTTTTCCCACTCACCTCAGAAAAAATATTGGTAGTGCATCTGAATATGCTTTCTCTCTCAAAACTGTTTAATGATCAAAGGCAAAATGAGCTACTGATCATAAACCCAAAATGAAAATATGGTCTCATTTTAGCAGAGTATCACAACCAGTGCTGGCAACTTAATGGAGACTGTGAAAAAATGAACTGTGCATCCCAAGCTTCCCAGTTTCTCGAGAACACACCACAGCTGTGGTTTCTCTAAATTAAAACCAAAGACAGGAGAAGATTGTGTAGAGGCAGCTTGTATTTCTCCTGTCCATTCTGTTCAAGAGAAGTCATAATTTTATGCTCCAGGGTTACATTCAGCTTAAATTTAGCTATTTTCAGTGATACAAAGAATAACCTGCCTACATTTAAGAAAAAAAAAAAAAAAGGAAGTAGAGGGAGAAAAAAAGTAAACCTGTGCTTGAACCTTTTTTTCCAGACCTCAGCCTTGAAGAAGGTTTCCCACTGAGATGCATAAAAACTGTTTCTGTGCTTGTTGGTCTTACTTAGCTGGCTGGCTACTGGCCAAACACAACAGCACTGCTTTGCTTTTCATCCTTCAGTCTCCTTGCAGCCAGGAGGAAAATAAATATTTTTATTATCATTATTTTTAATGCCTCTAGGAACTCTGTAACAAAGTCTTTGAACATTCTTTTGAATGTTCCTCTGCCTCCTTTCCAGCAAACATTGCCTATGGATGTTCCCTACCTGGGGGTTTCTTTACATAACTACCCAGGCTCTTCCCTCTGAGGGAAACTCACTCAGACTTTTAAGCAGTTCTTCCCATCTCTTGTACTCCTCTAATATTGCACACATTTTCAGAGACACAACAGAAATCTCTGATTTTTTTTTTTTTTTTTTTTGTTTTCGTTGACAAATCTTTTTCCCTCAGATTTGGTTGTGAGAGCTTTGTCTCTGCTTTGCAAGCTGGCATTCAGAGTAGAGTAAGGCAAATCCTAATGTAAATGTTTGGGGTTACTGGAGCCTTAGTTTTCATCTCAGCTGCATACAGAATCCTATACTGTCCTTCTATTTCCAGCAGTGACAATGCTCAATTTTTGTGGTGGGAAAGAGATCCTTATGTAGTTCACCTGCAGTTCCATGCAGAAAAGGCAGCATTTCAAAAACAGGTGAAACATTTTTCCCTCTAAGCATGGGTAGAAATCCCATGTGCTTGCATTCTTCTGGGAGGGAAAAGCTGTAAAACTGGTAGGAAGCTGTGTCACCTCGCTTGTGCACAGTTTGTGATTATGGGTTCATTAAAAAAACATTCTGCCTTTAGAGTTAGCTAGGTGTATGTATATAAACTCTTTCCACATACAGTTACCCAAATTAAGATATTAGGGTCTGGATGGACAGACAACTAGATAATAAAATATAATGGTTTAACAGGCTCAGAGGGCAGTGGTTAAAGGGTGATAACCTGCCTGGGTGCCTGTCCTGCTGAATATTTCTAGCAATGACCTTGAGGAGGCAACAGAGCACATGCTGGCCAAGTTTGCATGTACTGGGGGGTGCAGCTGGCATGCTTGAGGGCCAGTTCAGTGGGATGTAAAGAAAACTGCTTCTTCTATGAAGAAGCAGAGGACAGATTGCCCATTGAGGCTCCTTGGAGACTTTCATGACTGAACCAAATAATAGCTAAGAAGCCTGGTCTGACCTTGTTGTTGACCCTATTTGGAGCAGAGGGCTTTTGCAGAGGCTTTTTGAAGTTGTTTTCCATCAGAGTTATCCTGGGATCCCACATAGGAAGACTCTTTTACTGGAGGACCCACACCATGCAGAAAGTCTCTCCTCCATAAAAGCAGATTACTTTTCTATCCTGTGCTAGGAATGGTTTGTTTTCTGGTTTACTCTCTTTCCCTGCCTAGACAGTGTAGCAGTACTCTGGGTGAGTGCTGGTTGTTATGGTAACATATAACCAGCATGAACTTCTCTGGGGTAGAGTAAACCCCATGCTTTGGACTCACTTTTACTCGTGAAGTCACAGATGTGACTTGTCTGAATTGCTAAATTTCAATGTACAGAAACCAAACTTCCCATCCCCTAAGCTCAGGGGATCTCACTCACAACATAACTTCCATTGGCATTTCCAAGCTGCTGCCATGAGAACTTGTTCACACATCATGCTTCTGGTCTGTATCTTGCCCTGGTTAACATGCACTTGACAGAAAGAATATGTTTTCCAAACAAACTACAAAGTAGTTCTGGGCTACCATGAGTAAGATCTCATATTGTATATGCATGTGAGACACAACAAAAATGTGTGTGTATAGTGTATCTTATTTATTGCAGTTTCTGCCCAAAACTATAGTAGTATTTGTTCTGTTCCAAGAACTCATTGTAAATAAAGTAATTGTGGATAATTGGCAATCAACATGCTGCTGACTCCTACTTTTTGGTTGGAGAAGCTTATTTTCATGCAAAACTTCTATTAGTATATGAATGTGGGAAAGTAATACCAGGAAAGTGTGCAATGATGGTGGTACTTTGTGGATCATATGTTACACAGGAAAATCCATATTCAAAGAAAATCCACACTGCAGAATTTCTCAGCAGCCTTGATTTTTAACATGCAATGTATCCTTAAGTATGAAATCAGATGTGGGTAGAAATGCATTTTTAAGAAAACAGACAATCTTGAGGTGTGACAAAACTCTGTTTCAAATTAGCTCTCACCTTGAGTAATTGATTTCTTCCTCTTCCAGTTGTTTCCATACAGCCCCCTCCAGTACATATAAAAGCAGTAAACCAGCTGATCCTTATGTATGGTTTCTCTTGTCTCTTCTACTTCAGGACTGCATTCCTCCTGAAGTGATATTCCTCCTACAATGAATAAAGAGAGGGTTTTTTTATGTGCATGAGCCATACAACTTATTTGTTAAGAATTTGCCCTGGTTTTTACACCTGGAATATCCCTGTGTTTTTTGAAAACCGCTAGTATTTGTTGGAATACTAATTTACAACACCATCATGTTGACTGACACCAACACTTTGCTTTCATTTTGCTTAATAAAATGAATGAAGTCAAATACATGCAGAAGGAGTTTATTTGTTAGCATTTATATCCTCACTCCTTGAACCCTCCAGTTCTGTTTCACAGCTCATCCTCTTGCCATTAATTCCCGGTTTTCCTCTGCAGTAAGCTCATATTGAAAATAAATTTACTAATCTTTTCCAGTCTCATGGTTTTGCACTTGCTTTGTTGATTTTTTTTTTTTAAAGTACTTAGTTTCCTTCTTCATCATGCCAAGATTTGTCAGGGATTCAGCACATTTTTAACATACTGAAAATAATTAACGTTCCTTACAGGAGGCAGAAAAGCTCTCTTTTCTTTACCTGGCTAGGGAATGCTACCACAGTAAAATAAACTGTGTGCTGATTTGCACCATAAAGGAAGCAAATCTATCACAGATGCAGGGACAGTGTCACTAAGGCTCCCATTAGAGCTCTGATTTTTCTTTTTCCAGGAAATGAAAGCTTGACTTCATACTCTACAAAGCGAACACATGTCACAGAGCAGCCCCGAGCCTGCAGACTGTTTATGACTTTCCCTTTTAAAACAACGAGCAGTTTAAATGCCAGAAGGTCTGGCTGCTCTCTGTCATGGTGACACTGTTCAGGCAACAATTAAATTTTCCAAGAGTTATGGGGTTTAAAGTACTTATTTGTTTTTCTGACTCAACCTGCCACACAAGACATATTGAAAATGATGTGATCCTCTGCAGGTTTCTCAGAGATAACCAGTAGCAGAGGTACAAATCCAAGACGTGAACTCAGAGTAGATGTCATGGAAACACACAGTTCTGGACAATCCAATTCTCCTCCCCTCTTTTTCCATTTTTGAGAAGGTATTTAACTGTTGGGGGAGGTTAATTTTTAAATTTTTATTTTAATATTACCCATCAAATACAACTTTGCAGTTCAGTCTGCAGGACCATCTTCCAGAGACATTTTAGGAGAAACACATTTGATCTGACATTGTAAATATGCCCAAGTTATTTTGGACATCTTTCTTAAGGAACAGGCACAAATTGCCTTGAGCTCTCTGCTGTTGCTTGTACCTGCATTGCATGAGCTCGTGCAGGTTTGGAAGAATGGTGTTGCCACTGTGCTGGCCTCCAGCTTCATAGATCCTCAGCCCTGGGAGGGCTTGTGGCTTTCAGTGCAACACAGTGGGAACACATCAGTAATGTGTCTGTGTGAATCTCTGGGCTCAGAGCCTGAAGCCTGAGCTCAGTCCCAAAACACATGACATGGCCACACAAGAGAACTTCTCATCTCTACAGGAGCTCCAGGACATCCCTAGTTCCTGGGAGCTTGGCAACCTGGGATCTGTACTCAGAGCAGTTGCTGGAATTTCTGTAGACAGTTTACTAAGACCTTCTTTGGCTTTTCAGCACAGGATGCTTCTAAAAGTAGATGACACCTGTCTTCCAGCTGGAGGAAGAGTTGAAAGAGGCATACAATTCCCATGTTCATTGAATGTAACTTGCAGGCTTTTGGTTCTTGAAAAAAAAATCTCCTTCAGGAAAGACATACTCTTGAAGCACTTGTAAACAACATCTGAAAGTAAGGCTATGAAGTCAGGAGTGTCAGGGGATACTCCTTGCCCTCAAATGTCAGAAAGTTAATGTCAAAGCTTTTGTCTTCCTCTTGAAATGGAACAGCTCTTTCTTTTTGCTGTGGCATTGTTAGAAGAACAGTTCAGCCACAAAGAGGGAAAGGAAGGTTAAAAAGAAGCCATTCATCTTGTTAGCACTGTAATTGCACAAGAAGTGAACAGCGTAAGATATTCCAAAACCATGTACTTATGATCAGGGAATAAGTATATTCCACATTGGAGCCAGAAACTATTCTACCACTATCTTTCATATTTTAAGAGACTTATTTCATTTGTCTGCTTGCTAGCTGAAAGCAAGGCATACCCACAGTTCTCATTTATTTCTTTAATCAGCAAGCTGTAAATATTAAGGCCATCAATGTGACTTGATCTTCTAATTGGTAAATAATGGACTTAAGATAACTATTTCTGAAGCCAATTGTTAAAAGAGTGCCATGGATCACTGTAGATTAGTACAAAACCTTCTTCTCAGTGCTAAATGAGTAATTCTGTGTTTTCTATTAATCTGTATCATAGCAATTCTTTACATTGGAAAATAAGCAACACAGCTGTTTTCAGATTAAAATAAAAACAACAGCAACTCTGGTAAAGATTTAATGCCCTTTTTCTTCAATACATATCCTACCCTCAGCAAGATTTATAGGATTATAGTGAATTAGAAAAACGTGCGGATGGTTGGAGCAAAGGAAACATCTGAAAAGATAAACCATTCCACATCAACCCCATTCTAGTTAAAAATGCCATTATGAAAATAGACTTTTCTGTCAGCTTTTCCCACTGTCTCACACACAGGCCAAACTACTTACACCCTTTATCACAAGATTTCCATTCCCAGTCCTTAACACAGAATTACCTTCTTTCTCCTCTCTCTACAATGCCACTGGTGCTTCAAGTCTCTTTTGCCCAAACATCATACACCCAGTGCTATCCAGAAGTAGATTTGAAAAGCTGAACCAGAGTTTCTGTTTTCTGTATTTTCTTGCAAACAGACCATACAGTCTGAAAAGACTACCACTTGTTAAAGGTCTCACATTACTCTTTTCTCCCCTACAAGTCCTTCCCCAAACTTAACACCTGTGTGTGTATCTGGGTTTAACAAACAATTCCACTAAATGCTCCCTGCCCCTCAGTGCTTGTTTGGCACCAAATTACTCAGTGCCTAGAGCCCAGAGTTTCTATAACACACATCTTCTTTGCCAGCCTCTTTCCTAAGGTCCCCTGTCACCTGCCCCTGAGTAAACACTAGGGCATCTCTAGGGCAGACACATTTTGTGTGAATTACCCTCAGGATTAAAAAAATGGAGATAGTAGAAAAGGAATGGGACACACCACAGAGCCCTGCTACATGGATGATCAATTGCATTTCCTTCTAAAGGACACAGTGCAACCCAGACAACTTTGAAATGCAGTGGCTATGGGGAACAATTTCAGAAATAAGTACAGCAATCATCAAAGAGAAATTAATTAGACAGACCACACAGACTCATGTGAACTTGAACACCGCTGTCATAGCACTATTTCTAATTTTCTCTCCAGAACAAAAGGAACCAGTAGGCATCTGCCAATGAAACAAGACACACTTCAGAGCAGCTCAAGTCCCAAATAATTAAATTTTGTCAATTGCATAGATTTGCTTTTTGAACATTTCTTAGTGGAGGAGCCTTAAGATGCTGCATGGTAATGTGGAGAAGTTAATACAGAGAGAGGGGAAGATGACAGCAGTCAGAAAGAAAAGAGAGGGAAGCTAAATGAAGACTCCCACTGCACTTCAGAATAACACTGCCTGCCTCTGCTAATGGTCTGTGAGACCATAGCAATTCAGAAGTTTGTAATCAGATTTACTTTTCAGCTGAGAGGCCCATGAAAGAAGTTCGAAGAACTGACTCTCAGTTCTGTTTCTGAGTAGAGAAAAAAACAGCTTTTTAACCTTGTGTTGTGCTCAGTCTCATCTGCCCAGCACATACTGTTGGTCAAGTTAATAGAACATTTTCCTTGCTGAATGCCAAACAGATGTTCTGAAACACATTTGGTAGAACATACAGAAACACACGTCTTAGTAGTTTCTCATAACAATAGCTAAGCAAAGTGTCAAAACCTGGAGCTGATGGGAGAGTAGAAAAATGCCAGTCCATAGCTGGTCTTCATTTTAAAAACCCTCTATGACCCTGGATTTTCTGAAGATGAACTATCAGACACAGGCATCAAATTAGTAAACTAGATATGGAGACTCTCCTCTGGCTAAGTGGGCAGCATTCATGGTTTCTTCTCTTTCTCCTAGTCTGCAGCATCTGTCTGCATGACCTGTGAAATACTGCTGTTATTTCTTACCAATGGCAGAGCACCACATGGGCTTTGCACATCCATGTGTCCTTGGTCAGAGCTCAGAGAACAGACACTGTGACCAGGCCTGGCTTTCTGCATCCCAAACACACTCCGGGATGGGTGTCCTTGTACTATAAATCAGAATCTATCTGATGATTTTCATGGCCAAAGGAAAGGAAGCATGAGAAGAAGATGTATTGAAATAAGTTGACTGATTAGACTTGAGACTATTATAAGGTCATGCTTGAGTTTCATATGCAGACACATTTTTCATTTGTCAAGGAAAAATTATTTGTTGGGAATGATGTTCTAACTGAATAGTCCTTCACATTCAAAAGCTGAATATAACCTGGAAGGCAACCTAATAGTCCAGAGTACCTCAGTTTTCAGGTAAACTTTCCACTTCTGAGTTCTCTAACAGTTACAGGTTTGGACTCCAAAAGCACCCAAAGCACCTCATAAAAACTAAAACCCATTCCAAAAACTATATTCCTAGTGAGTAAAATATTTAAGCCTGTGCTCAAACTCTACTGATTTAACAAAATGTAAACATGCACAAGTGCTGGCTGGAATGTGCTTCAATCACCTTCAAGCATGATTCAAGTACTGCTGCTGGACTAGATTAAGTCAGGAAAAGGTTGCCAGGATTTCTGTAAATGTGTCTTAACCCTGTTAGTCTCCACAGGAGTTGGGCTGTTTATTTCCACAGGTTCAGCATCTCCCTTACAGGGGACCTGATGCTTCTCTTTGCTGTTTCGGAGTGAAGCTGATAACTTCAGTAGCAACTCCCATGTAAAATAGCGTAATACAAGGAGTGCCGGGTTTCCATTCAGGTTTCAGATATAATATTGATGGAAAGTACTGGTCAAGCTTCCAACCC